TACGATTATACAAAAAAGGGAGGTCATAACATAAGTTAGCATGGAAAGTCTGATCTTTCAGAGCTTTTCCCGAGCTACCCGGAATCTGTCAGACGATAGCCTTCGCATAGCTTGTGTCACCCTCCCACTCTTCCTGCCACAGGCCAGGAGCTGTGCACAAGCTGTCACACCCAGTCCTGGGGAGCAAAAGCCCAAGGCACTCCATTAGGACAGAGTACTGCCTGTTTAAGCACCTGCAGCCACACCCTTCCACTCTTCCTGCTAATGTCTAGGAGCTGAGGTTAGGCTGTCACACCCCACCCAGCTCCTACAGTCATGGAGAGTGAAATCCCAAGGCAGGGCACATTGAGTTCTTTCTAAGATCATGTACTGATCTTATTTATTCTTACATCATCGAATAAAGGTTGAAAATGTTTCCATTAAATGATTAAATAGCACTCGTAGACTTGCGTGGTACTTAATTAAATGTGGTCCAGAAGAAACCAGAAGCAAGCTTCCAGGTGTTTCCTACTATACTATCACATAATAGGCTTAACACCGCCAGCAACAAGTTGTGACCACACATGTAAAATATTGTCTTTCAGGAAAGCTCATATAAGATTCAATGCCCAGTGACTTGTGGTAACCACATGAATGAAAACAAGAGTTTGGGATGTACCCTGTTGTTTTCATAAACATGTTCATGTACAGAGCAACTCTTATCTATTTGATTGGTGGAGTGACTCTCACAAATTCCAGTTCCCAGGTACCAGCAAAGGACAAAAATTTTAAACAAACATTTCTTAAGGATCAGTAGTCTCAGAACTGTTTATGTTAGCTGTTTACTGTGCAAACTAGGTTGTGGGACTTTGTTATAACCAAGTGCTGTAGCTCATTTTACTCTGGACCAGCCAAAAGTAGGAATTTCCTATTCCTTAACCAGAGGGTAAATGTTACCATCAAAATTACTGTGTTGGAACCTTTCTTCTCTACTTTTCATATGTATATCATTAGTTTAATGGTTTTTTGATGTGTTGTTTTTGGAGTTTTTTGTTGTTGCTTTAAGAAACTGTCATTAATAGTAACTACATGACTAAGGAATTCCTATACCCAGGGACTGGGCTGTCATTTTTCTGTGTATAGCATAAGAGAGGTATGAAGGAATTCTCTAAGAGTGGCTGGTTGAAAACAACTGCCTCATGGAATTGATGAAGGGAAGTTTTATGTTCTTTTAGAAGAACTTACTACTTTGTATATTTTATGATGATGGACACATTCACCAGGAACCATTATGACTTTCAATGAACTTCCTTGGAAACTGCAACTCTTTTTTTTATAAGTTTATTTTTACATCATTTTGTACTTTTTTTTCCATCTCAATTGTAATCCCCACGGGTTTCCCATCACCAAGTCACCCGTGTGCCATCACCATAATCCCATGCACTTCCCTCCCTACCCCACCCCCCGTTTTTGATCCCATTCCCCACTCCACCCCCACAAAATGTCTCTGGTATATGGTTGTTCATTATTCTTGTTATTTTCTCGCCTGGTCCATTATACTCCTGCTATGAGTGAAACCATCCAGTATTTTTCTTTCTCTTTCTGGCTTATCTCACTAAGCATGATCTTTTCCAGCTCCATCCAAGTTGCTGCAAAAGACATGTGTTTCTCTTTTTTGGTTGCTGAGTAATATTCCATTGTATATATGTACCACATCTTTTTAATCCAGTCATCTACTTTTGGGCATTTGGGCTGCTTCCATCTTTTTCCAATTGTAAATAAAGCAGCAATAAACATGGGGGTGCAGGTATCTTTTTTAATCAGTGTTTTTGTGTCTTTTGGGTAGATACCTAGGAGTGGGATTGCTGGGTCGTAGGGAAGCTCCATGTTTAGCAGTTTGAGAAACCTCCAAACGAAAACTCCAACTCTTATCCCATTCCTCAAAGTCAGCAAGATTCAGGATAGATTAGTAGGGTTCTGCCAGAATGCTCCTTTAGCATTCTAACTGGCTAGCATTCTCTACCTCCTCTGCATATCATTTCAGTCATTGTGCATTTAAAAGTTGGTGAGAAACAGCCCTGAGATCATTAGTGTGGGGATTTTTGTGGTGGTCTAAATTTAGTCATATCTTCTTCCTCATATCTGAGTTCCAATATTTTAATAACTCCCTAGACCTATAAAATGAGACAGGTAGAAATAAAAACTGAATATGATGAATCTTTGTATAGAAAAAAGTCAATAAAGTTAAGTAAATTAAAATTAATATTATCCATGAAAGTATTCCATTCAACCAGCTGCACCTGACTACTTCTAATGGCCCATAATACTTCAGGACAATATGACCAACTGAACACCAGTATGACCACCACTTGTATGTTGGATTTCCATTCATCTCCTTACCTTTCATGTTTAGAGTTAGGAATGCAAGAAAAATCTTCCTCTTCGGGGTGTTTTTTATTCAGTAAAACTTTATCCATATTTGACCCTGTCCATGGAGTAAGTACTATGTAATCTGGTGGGTAGTAAGAAAACAGATGAGTTTTTCTCACCAGGAATTGAATGGCTTAAAATGAAAGTTGTTTTTTTTTTTCATTTGTTTAGCATTTCTTTCATTTCTCAGTGTGCTCTGAATTCTATCATTAAAGAGCAACAATATTTGAAACAATCATAGTAAAAATTAAAAGATAATTTCCATATGTTCATGATGATATTAAATTTATTTATGAGTAAGTGAATATGAGCAGAAAATAAAAGTGCAACTCATAGATTCAGTTTTGAGATAACAAATATGTATGCAAATGTATGAATTGATTATAGGTTCTTTGTATTATCAGTCTCATTCACTTTCTAGTACACATGTGTATGATGTTTTAGGACTCAGTGGTCTTTGAAGATGTGGCTGTGAACTTCACCCCAGAGGAATGGGCTTTACTAGATCCTTCACAGAAGAAACTCTACAGAGATGTGATGTGGGAAACCTTGAGGTACCTGACCTCAGTAGGTAAGGATAATGACATTGCTTCACTCTGTCCACTAGGGAGAAAGTGTTTCCTATCCACCAATATTGTGCTTGGAAATACTTGGGAAATCAGACATGGTCAAAGCTCATTATGAACTTGTAATATAATCATTCTTCTGTAACTTACTGGTTATTCTGGGTCTGCATTCTAGGGGAACAAATGGAAGACCATAACACTGAAAATCAATACAACAATCAGGGAAGAAACCTAAGGTAAGTTGCACTCACAGAAGAAAGCAGGGTCCTTCAAGGAAATCTTTGTGTATCAAACAGATACAAAACAGGCTGAGTTCAAGTGTATTTTTCCTTATGACATTTTCCTTTTGAATTTCTTTAAGAAAATATTCACCAAAAAATAAAAGTTTTATGTGACATCTGTTCAGAATTTGTGAAACAGGTCACTTGGAAACAGTATTCAGAAACTATATATGAATATCACCACTTTAATAAAGCTACACAGTCAAGCCCTGTTGCAATGCATTCAGTACATTTACTTTTCAACAGTTTAAACAGGCAGAAAATCTATACTTTCCCTATATAATGGTAAAATGTAATTGTGATATTTACTAAAGAAATCACTGATTATGAAATCACTTTTTTTCAGAAGTCATGTGACAGAAAGACTGTGTGAGGGTAAAGAAGATAATCAACATGAAGGAAACTTTAGTTATAACCCAAATCTTAATCGTAACAAGAAAACCTCTACTGAAGTAAAACCTCTACTGAAGTGCAGTGAGTGTGGGAAAGCCTTCATGAGTAATTCATCCCTTAAAAGGCACATGAGATCTCACAGTGCACACAAGCCACATAAGTATCAGGGATGTAGAAAGAAGCCTTACAAGTGCAAGGAATGTGGGAAAGCATTCAGCTATCTCCAGCCTTTTCAAAAACATGAAAGAAACCACAGTATAGAGAAATCCTATAAATGTAAGGAATGTGGGAAATCATTTCGATATCGTCAGTCTGTTCGCAAACATGAAAGGACTCACACTGGAGAAAAACCCTACCAATGTAAACAATGTGGAAAAGCCTTTAGATATCATCAGACCTTTCAGACACATGAAAGGATTCACACAGGTGAGAAACCATATGAATGTAAGCAATGTGGGAAAGCCCTCAGTTGTCCTAGCTCCTTTCGAAGTCATGAAAGGACACATACTGGAGAGAAACCTTATGAATGTAAAAAGTGTAGTAAAGCATTCAGTTGTTCCAGTTCTCTTCGAAAACATGAGAGAACTCATACTGGAGAAAAACCCTATGGCTGTAAGGAATGTGGGAAAGCCTTCATTTCTCTTGGAAGCTTTCAAAGACACATGATTACACACACTGGAATTGGCCCTTATAAATGTAAGGAATGTGGGAAAGCTTTCAATTGCCCTAGCTCTTTTAGAATACATGAAAGATCTCACACTGGAGAAAAACCCTATGAATGTAAAATATGTGGTAAAGCCTTCAGTTGCTCTAGTTCCTTTCGAACACATGAAAGAACTCATACTGGAGAGAAACCCTATAAATGTAATGAATGTGGAAAAGCCTTTCATTGGCTCACCACTTTTCAAGTCCATGTGAGAACTCACACTGGAGAGAAACCCTATATATGTAAGCAATGTGGTAAAGCCCTCAGTTGTCCAACATCCTTTCGAAGACATGAAAGGACTCACACATCAGAGAAACCTTATGAATGTAAGCAATGTGCTAAAACCTTCAGTTCTCCTCTAGGTTTGCAAATACATGGAAGAACTCACACTGGAGAGAAACCCTACAAATGTAAGGAATGTGGGAAAGCATTCATTTCTCTCACAAGCTTTCGAAGACACATGATGACACACACTGGAGATGGACCTTATAAATGTAAGGAATGTGGGAAAGCTTTCAATTGCCCTAGCTCTTTTAGAATACATGAAAGAACTCACACAGGAGAGAAACCCTATGAATGTAAAATATGTGGTAAAGCCTTCAGTTGTTCCAATTATGTTCAAGTACATGAAAGAACTCATACTGGAGAGAAACCCTATGAATGTAAAGAATGTGGAAAAGCCTTCATCTATCGAACAACCTTTCAAGGACACATGAGAGTGCACACTGGAGAGAAACCTTATAAATGTAATGAATGTGGGAAAGCCTTTAGTAGACCCAGTTCATATCGAAGCCATGAAAGAATTCACACTGGAGAAAAACTTCTTGAGTGTAAGCATTGTGGGAAAACCTTCAATTGGCCCACGTCCTTACACAAGCATGTGATCAGAATGCATACCAGATAGGTAAACTGTAACCGAAAAGATTCCACTGGAAAGAAATGTAAGTAATATGAACAAGCCTGATGCAAATAAGTCACATATAATCATGCCCTTCATGACATGAAGGAAATGTTTTATAATTTCAAAATATATTGTCGCTCTCAATGATTCTTAATGAAACTCAGTCATGGATTCTGCTTGTTACTTTTGCAGGTAGAACATTGAATTGAGACAATTCTATAAGTTCTCTTAGATGAATAGTACATAAGCTTTATAGGCAGCTTAAGTCAGCTTATGAAATTTTTGTTTTTCCATTTTGAATTCTGTTGGCTCCATGAGTTAATGTGTTTTTCTAATATGTAAGCAGGGTTGATTTTTATATAATCTTTAAGTTGATCTATTAGTTAAATAACAATTGTTTAATGACACTTAAGTATTCATTGAGATCTTTCTACTGACCTCATGATCACTACTGACTATTCCTTGTCTGTTATAAGTACTAATCCTTTAGTATTAGAAACCTCCTTCTTTAAGCAAAAGAGCCTTATTCTACTTATCTTGTTAGTGAATAGCTGACATAATTTACAAGTATGCAAAGTTTTGTCAAGATATATTCTCACTTAAATTACAATTTACATCTTTTTCCATTAATTTTGGTCACTTTCATACTGTGATTTGGATATTAGACTTTATACTAAGAAGAACCCTGTAAAGAGAAAATAAGTTGGAGAATTGGAGATCCCTTCTCTCTCCCACCACCCAAAATGTGTTATTGGAAGCCTGGTAATATTGGAGCGTATTTTCTTTTTTTTAAGATTTTGTTTATGCATACAGAACTGGAGTATAGGTCAGAGATGCAGGGGTGGTGAGAGGATTCGTCAGAGACAGAGTGGGGAGCAAAACAGATGTACTGAAGTACACTGCTGAGGGGAGCAGCAGGTGAGACAGGAAAGGTCTGCTGCACCATATGGGTCAGCTCCCTGGCTGGGGATTGAAGTGGTACAGTGGCTGCGGACAGCCTCATAATGATGTGCTTAACACATTGTGCCACCAGGGAGGGCCCTGGGCATATTTTCTAAAACCTGTTCCACATTCAAATTTACCAACAACCTCACTTGTGTAAGATTCTGAAGGCAGAAGCAAAGAATACCATACCCATCACCAATGCACCAATATCTGTTCCTCCTCCTAAGAGGATATATTAAAACTTACCACTGTAATTGTAGACTTTAGATCAAGTTTGTAACTGTCCAGTGCTTCATACTTTTGAACCACTATTACAAATTATTGATAGATGTGGTATTTTCCTCAGGCAAAATTATTCTTTATTCTTTTTATATCATAATTTTTGTCATGAAACTAATTTCTCACTCATTCTTTTTTAAACAAAAGATATATTAATTTATTCACACAGAACTGGGGTATAAGCCAGAGGTGCAGGGGCAGTGAGAGGCTTCACCAGAGACAGAGTGGGGAGCAGAACAGGCAGATTGACAAGTACACTGCTGAGAGGAGCAGTGGGCGGGTGAGGAGATGTCTGCCATGCCATGTGGATCACCTCTGGGGACAGGGATCGAATGCTCACTGAAGCAGCTGCGGCCAGCTTGCAGTGCTGCATCCTAACGCTTTGCACCACCAGGAAGGGCCTCTCACTCATTCTTAATTAAAAATTTGAATCATGGTCTTGTTAGTGCCTTCTTGCTTTATTACCAGGATCATACAAACAATCAAAGGGATGTGATGAATCATCCTGATTAGAATTATTGCAGACCCCACAAGTAATGTGTTTTATCAGCAAGTGGGTGTTCAAAAGGTGGTAGAATTTGAGCCTGTTAGGTAATGGGATTAGTATTCAAGGAAACAGTGTTTCTATATATTGGATATTGTAAGGAGATGACCTTATTATTCTGTCTCTAGTAAGCATGATCATTGTTATCTAAACACTGAAATGTTTCTTATAGTATATGGAACACTTGCCCATAAAATACTCAGTAAAGTGTATAAATTCACTTGCTCCTTAACAAATCTTGTAACTCTTTTATTATCTCCTTTTTTACTCAACTGAGCCCATTTCTGTAGGTGAATTGTCAGAGAATATAAACTACCAAGGGACAAGTATAGTGTACCCTTTAAATCAAGCTATTCTTGCACAGACATTATGCTCTTGAGTTAATTTTTCAGCATCCTCCCCCTATCAAGCAATGCACGTTCAAAACATAAACAAATTAGCACAATCAAGGCACTATCCTCTGAATAAGAAATAAGTTCTTCTAGTCCTGCTCTATATACTTTTAAGGAAAAGAGGAAAATAATGGCACAGTTTTGTTTTATTTATAAAATGGAAATAAGAGCTTTGAAGGAAAGTAAACAATTACATATGAAGTAGTAAACTGAAAGTATGTTCCCTGTAGAAGGTTGGGACTTCTGTTGGAGATGTCAACATTTATAACTTTTATTTCCACCATCCAGTAATACTTCTTAAATACCGAGGAACTGCTTGTAAACAGTCAGGAGAGATACAGTACAGCATTTCTGTGATAAACAGCAATGGTTCCTCGTAAGGAGAAAACTATAGACATGGTTGATTTTCATTTCTGCCATTGTTGGGGTTGAGATTTTCTGTTTCCATTGTTATGGGCCATGTGTATTTGTGGTGTTTTGTTTAATACCATGATAATATTTTAAATTGCCTTTTATAATAGGCATTAGTTTGACACAGTATGCACCTCATGAAATCACACTGATCCTACCTGAAGAAGAGTTAATGGTCATCTGGACATCTTTTTCCTTTAAGTAAAATAAGTGATTTCCCAGATGAAACACCAGACAAGCAATGGATGTTTAGAAGTAATTATTGAAATGAGCTGTGAACAATAAGAGGTATCATTTTGAGGAATAGCCTAATTTAGTAGAAAAGGAACTATATTTGGTATCCTTAAAATGGCAAAACAGGCCC